TATCTTCACCTTCTAACCAGACAAAAAAGATGTCATCAATATACCGTAACCACACCCAAGGTTTTATATCTTGTTGTTCTAAAAACTCAGTCTCCACCATATCCATAAAAATGCATGCATACGGAGGAGCAAATTTTGTGCCCATGGCTGTCCCAGAAATTTGACGATAAACATCTGAATTAAATTCAAAATAATTATTTTTAAGGACAAATTCCGCTAAACTAATAAGGCTTTCTGATGACACTGTTTTATCTTCACGTTCCTCTAGCTTGGTGTGAAGTGCTCGCAGACCATCCTCGTGTGGGATACTGGGATAGAGGCTTGTAACATCAGCAGTTACAAGCAATGCATTTTCCGGAACTTTACCTATTTCTTTTAATTTATCCAAAAAATGTCCTGTATCTCGAATGTAGGACTTCCCTGCTTTCATTATGGGTTTAAGATGGTGATCTAAGAATTCAGACGCCCTCTCTGTAGGAGTCCCACAATTAGAGATAACAGGACGTCCGGGTACATTTCGAAGCCTTTTATGAATCTTAGGTAAAAGATATAGCCTCCCCAGTGCACACGAATTTTTAAAATCGTACGAAAAATACTTAAAGTGAATTTTCTTGATGTTTCGGTGGGAATTGATGCTGGTAGATTTATTACAAGTCTTTTTTGTAAGCCAACTGATTGCCATCAATATCTACATTATGAGTCATCACACCCTGCGCACGTTAAAAGATCTATCGTATATAGTCAGGGTTTGCGCATCAAGAAAATTTGCTCGCGTGAAGAGGATTTTGAGAAACACTTACAAGAACTGTGTAGTTGGCTTAAAACTAGAGCATATCCAACATGGCTCACAGAAAGAGAATTTAAGAGGGTCAGGGAATACAATATTGAAGCGGAAAGTAATAATATACTTAGAGAAAAAAGTTGTAAGACAGGAGTGCCTTTAACTATAGCTTTCCATCCTTTGTTAAAGCACTTTGGTTTAGTAATTAAGAAAAATTTGCATATTTTGTACTTAGACACTGAAGCTCGTAAAGTATTTACCCCTGAACCATTTACGGCGTTTAGAACAAGCCGTAATTTAAGAAGTTACTTAGTGAGAGCTAAGGTACCACCATTAGTAAGAGAGAAAGGATGTAAGAAATGTAATAAACCCAGGTGCTTGACGTGTCAAAATATTCACGAAACCGACACTTTTAGGTGCACAGCTGATGGTAAACAATACAAAGTGAACCATCATTTAAACTGTGACTCAAAGTGTGTGGTTTATCTTTTGACATGTAAAGTGTGTAAGAAGCAATATGTTGGTCAGACGACAGATAAATTCCGCTTTCGATGGAACAATAGGGAGCTTTAGATTTGACTACGAGTACGACTACGAGTACGAGATTCGTCAAGCGAAACGCATGGTGTATGCTTACGCCATCCCGTACTGACGCGAAAAAGTCGTACTCGTCGCCCATCTGAGTACGAAATTGTGGAGAAATCTCGTAGTCCTCACTACGACTTTTCAAAAAAACAAAGAAAGTTGGCTTTTTTTTGTTTTCCAAAAATAACTTTTGTAGCATTTATATAACGTTTATCCGACGCAAATAATATATTATAGTACTAAATATCTGGCTTGTTTTTAATGTTATGACTTATTTACACGTTTCTAGGGTATTTTGGTCTGCAGGAGATTTAGTTTATGAAACTTTTTCTCTCATTGTTGATTTACTGGTATAAAAGCAACATTTGAATGGAAACGAAAACGACTACAGTAATTTCCTAGCACGCGATCAAATCTCGTACTCGTAGTCGTACTCGTAGTCAAATCTAAAGCTCCCTATTTATAAATCTTGTCAAAGGAAAGCAATGTCCAACAAAGCTCATACACAAGCCTTTTTTCATTCGCATTTCTTAGGTGAAAACCATAATGGCTTAATGAATGACTGTGATATAGTCATAATTGATAAAACCAACCCAGCAGAACCAACAATTAGGGAAATGTACTGGATTAATAGACTTATGACAATGTACCCCTCGGGGTTGAACATTGAACAGGATTCTGAGGAGTATGAATAATTATGTTCGTCTGGTAGGGTATATAAGTAGGGGTTTATGCATGTTAACGATTTTTACTTGGAAGAAGACAATAAAGTCGAAACGTCAAAAAATATGTGTTAGTGATTAACTTATTTAAATGGCTTTTTGCCAGGTGATTAACTTATATATATATATGTATATATATATATATATATATATATATATATATATATATATATATATATATATATATATATATATATATATATATATATATATATATGTATATATTAAAATAAAAATTAACCTGCAATATTAATTAACCCACACCTGAACTGTGTCTTTGAGTCCTATTCCTGACAGTAACTTTTGTATTAACTGCATGCTATTCCAATACAACAATTTGTTATGAAGACAAAATAAAGCCAGAACCCTTAACTCCAGTTTTAATCATGATCAAATGAATAATTTGTAGATCATCGCGAACGTTATGACCCCTGCGATTAATGCTTACACCCGTTTTCAAAATTACGCGACCTCCCTGAAAAATACTCTTACTTCAAATGTCAGTTTTATGTCACAAAAACTGCTAAAAATAGCAAACGTAAACAAACTGTCAAAAGGCATTTTAAACCGTATTTAATACCAAAACTGAACGAAAATGAGTGAGATAACTTAGATATACAAGCTAAAGCACAATACAAACCATCACAACAGAAATATGTGCCGTGAATAACTTTAAAGTTTGAAAAATTACAATTTATCCCGGAATTTAGCTGTCAGTATAAAACACGCGCGCTAGACTATAACGGTGATGTTATGATTTTGTTTGTGCTTAAATTTTGCAATAATTCTCACTAAAATATCTTGAAAATCATTGTAAGGCTGTTTATATAAAGCATACAAACATATACATCGACAAGGGAACCGCAAAACTCAAAGTTTAAACTTCAATCAGTTGGTTGCTTTGTAAAAAAATATTTCCAGGAGCGAATTGATATTTTTCGTCGTCATTCAAAATTGAATGAAAATCATAAACAGGAAGCATATATATACACTCTCACAAATGCAATTTCACAAGAAAACATCATATTGCATTATATTCAACCATCTTTCAAATGTTGAAAGCAGGTCTGGTGTATTAGCGATCATGTCTTCGACCACCTTATTTATATATTATAAATTTTGGTTCAACTTTTCTCGTGAAATAGGTTTAAGGAAAATAGTAATTAAATAATTTAAATCATGGCCTATTGTAGCGCAAGGCAGTTTTACATAAGCTAACCGAATCATACCTGCAGACTCCACATTTTTCACAATGATAAGGACTGTTATTGTTCCCGGTAAGGTGTTTGCATGAACGACAGTAATAATTCGCAAATTTTGCACTACAATTACAGCATGATTGACGAAACTAAAAAAGTAATAACATAACGCATGCATACATTTTAATTCTTAAACTTGTAAAAAACTTGGTAAAACAAAGAAAAACAGGATCTAAAAGAGCCTATAAGATCCTATAACAAATAATAGGGCGACAGGAATTCTAGCCGCTGTAAGCCGGGGGCCTATTAATAAAGCTATCAAATAGTTAAATAAGAGATCGAATTCCTTAATACTTTCTTCTTAAGGTATTTCGGAAATCATAACTTTCTCGATAATCTTGTAAGTTTTTTTCTCAATTACTCCACGATTTAAAACTTTTAAAAAGACATTTTGCTAGATCGACAGTAGAAAAAAACCGACCTATACCTGTCGAATCGTAACCCTCATGACAACCTGATACAACACAATTACGTAATCGCGCGCATTGTAATAATGTCCAATCGGAAATTACCATCATCACCAACGGGCTTCGGCGTTGCAGCATAATGCACATGCGAACAAGAAGATGAAATCAGGGTAAAATACGCCTTAGCTTAAACAGTAGTTTTATAGGATAAAATTAGGGTTACCTTTTGCTCTTTATTGCAATGAACACACTGAACCATCGTTGTGTCACTTGGCTTAAGCTTCTTCCGGCCACATGTTCTTTGGTTGTCATGACAACGATGGCAGGGCCAAAACTTGTCACAGCATTCAAATTTGACGAAGCAAAGTCGTTTGCAATGACTGCATAACCAGTTGTATTCCCGATTTAGGTCCCCGTTTAGAGAAGCGGCATGGGACTGAGAATTAGAAACGTCGCTTCGTTCTATGTCTGGACTGCCTACTGTCTGAGCACTTCGTGTGTTGTTAACCCCTGATGAATATGTTCTTTTGACTGGATATCTTGCCGATGTTTCTCTATCGTCTGCTTTTTAAACAATAGAAATAAAATCATTGCAAAATCTTCCACAAGATAGCTTTATCGGCTCTAAATAGTTTTTTTAACTTTCCATGCAGCAACGGCCTTATTGCTCCAGAATGACTGAAAAGCGGCAAATATTATCCGCACTTTGCATTTTATAGTTAAATGAGAACATTGTATTAAAAATCTCGGTCGAAGGATATTGCATCACAGAACAGCAGGGTTGAAGGATGTTGCATTAAATAGAGTCTAGGTCGGTGACATAGAATTGGAATTGTACCATATATATATATATAATCTGGACTCATATACACGTGGAATGGAAGTTTCGTTGCGCAACGTTCACATCCACCAACAGAGGAATAAAGAGTGAGATATATAAAGTAGGCGAAACAACATCCATTGTGCTGTCCACACTTGTAAGTGAAATTTTTACGGTTGGATTAATTCACAGTCATGAATAATCGCTCTATCTTTGCAAAGGGTACAATAAAATTAAACATCCTATGCATAATAATAATAATAATAATGTCAAAAAGATAAAAAACACATACTTGTAACAGAACCATCAGAAGCAACTTCATCGGACAGCCTTGCGGCAAAACCAGTAGCAGGTTGAAGGTTTTGCTGTTCAGAAGCCGTGGACAGGTTTTTGTTTAGAGACCTAGGGAAGTGTGTTGGAGTGTGTGTATCTGACGAATTTCGGCAAGCTGCCAGTTGTGTTTGCTCAGGCAGAGATCGTTTTGCTCCATTACATTTTCCTGGTTTTCTCGAAGGTGCTGGATTTCTTCCTCGAGTGGTTTGTAATGTATCTCTAGCAGCTTGATTGACCAAAGATTGGCTGGTGTTCAATGGATTGAACACACTTTGATACATTGGATTTGTAGAGGATTGAGACGTGGGGATTTGTCCTGGATTTGCTGCTTGCTTTTTAGGTGCTAGGGTCAGGCGAAGTAAACTAAAATCACCAAGGACAAATGCATCAATAATACACACTAGGTCAATTCTGACAATAGATTCGAAGAAATTACAAAGTTGACTTAGATTGGAAGCATTGACAACTCCTTTTTGATCAAGTTGAAGGAGAATATCAGTAGCATTCTGTGGGTTGTTGATTGCAAAATTCTGACTTGCCCAGTTCTTCAGTTTTACGACATCGCCGGAAAGAAGTCTTTGACCCAGGGATAGTAACAGGAGCTTGTAGTTGTTGTATAAAGTTGTTGCAACAGATGTTGGTGGTACATTACCAAGCGATACGCACTCTGTTCCAAAAAAGCTTTGCTGGGGTGTAGATGCTAAACCACTGGGTCCCTGGACATTCTCAGATTGATTTATTTCCTTTCCGCCTCTTGCCTTCTTTCTCGATGTGTTAGTCGATGAGTTTTGCGTTGGTGGAGTTTGATTTTCGTTGTTATTACTGAAGTTTGATACTTTAGTTTTCCGTTGGTCCCCTTTTTGAGTTTTGCTTAGGTCTATGTCACTGGTGACCATCTCTTCTTTTCTTGGTTGATGATTACTTCGTTGCACCAAGGTATCTGCCTCTTTGGCAGGTTGTTGTCTAGAAGTGGAAGGATAGGTAACTGATGGTACATCATCCTTTTGGTGCATGGTTTGAGGTTTTAGGAACCTGTTTAGACAGCCACTTACATTCATATTATTAATTGGTCTGTCATTGCTGGAAGGCATAGTAGTAGCTTCAGACAATGCGGGACGAAAAATTTGTTGAAAGAGTTCAGATTTTTTATCTTCGTTTTCCTTTGCATTTTTCTCAACGGCAATTTGCCCAAGCTCAGCCAAAATATCTTTGTATTCAGTTTCTAATAATTTCATTTGACTTTTAAGAGAAAGGTTTTCCTGTTCCAGGTCCTTCACCTTGAGAAGTATCATCTGGGCTGGTGGTTTCGGGAATTGAATGGAATTCCTTGATTTCAATGCGTTTTCTTCTATCATTTTTTCCGACTTCAACTCTCTTTCTTTACCGGAATATTTAGGGTATGCGTGAATCCGTCTGTCTCGCTCTCCTTTGTTAAGTTGTGGAATTACAGAATATACCATTCTCGAATCTTTGGATATTTCGCGTTCGGGTTTCTTGTTTCTTTTATCTTTGTAACATAATGGACTGAATGAAGAATCTTCATCTGAACTTACGAAATCTTTCTCTTGAGTCGGAATTTTATCAGAAACTTGCTTGATCAAAATATTCTCAAAATCCTCTGGTACATTTCCTAGATTTTTGAGATTACTAGATTGATCGCTTTCAAAATTTTTCTGGTTTCCTCCTAAATTTGGTGCGAGAAAAGACGATTTTTCGTTTACTGAATGTACTTGAGAAGTTTCTTCCAAAATACTATTTGGTTGAGAATGTAAATCAACATCGTTGTCTAAATCTCTATTTGCCGAGATGAAGCTTTCCTTGTCGTCCACGGAACACTTATCAATTGAAAGGCTACGTAACATGTCTAAAAAAAATTCGTTTTCGTCTGGTGTAAAAAGTTCGTTATGAGCCGCTTTTTTCAAAAATAGTTTCAACGGCTTGGCAGTTCTCTCGCTTGGGCACTTGACATAGTTCTCAGACAGATCCAACAAATATGAAGCTTCGGCAAGAACAACTTTTGCCTTAGAAACAGAATTCATCAACTCTGAACTGGATACTTTTCGTGTTTCATTATATGTTGATTGCTGCATGCTCGCCGGCCCATTTGCACTGACGCTAGAAATTGGAATTTCATTGTATATATTATACTTCATGACTTTATTCACCAGATGACCAATAATACTCAACATTGTAATAGAACTCCTCGGCGTATTTATAGGAAATGGTGCTTCCAAACTTGTCAGAATGGTCGGAAATTAGCTTTGAGTTTAGGATTCAAAAAGACCTAGAAGACGAAAAAAGAATAGAAACAATTATGCATCTTGAACAATAATGACAATGGTAAAATAAGAAATACAGGCGTTCAACCCTTGGTAAAATTTTCCTATAAAGTTGAGATTAATATAGCCAGAACTAGAAGTTTCAGGTTTTGAGAAATGACAAATATACATGTTATATAACTTAATTATCACGTAGATAAACCCTGTTTTGCACAAACCCTAACAATAACTGTGGAGGAATTAATTCATAAAATCTTGGGAGTGAGGACAATTTTGCATCACTTAAGAGGCTGTCTCTCTAAGAACCGACCAATGAATCTCGGCTCAAAAAATGAAATTCCTCGTTACTTTCACAATGAAATGTATTTACTCCAAGAACAAACAAACACTATTTGGAATTTTGAAATTTTATTAATTTTTAAAATTTCAGCGATTTTTCGGTCCCGCGCCGTCGCGCAGAAAATCCTCTGCCTATATCAGGCATAAATATTAGCCGAATTCAAATACATATAATTTTCAAAGCATTTAAATTCACCGATGGAAAATATAGATATTGTCAATTTATTGTGAAATTAGACAATAAAAGTGCAAAAGATTAAACGTCATGGTTGCCTTGGCAACATGAACACTGTTTTAATTTGCTCATAAATGGACAGCACAGAGCTTCGGAACTTTCCTGGAAATGATCATATTGCCCTGTCTTAAGTGTATTTAATATAAATTCGGTTCAAAGCGAAAGTTACTCAAAATACCTAGAATTTTAGAGAACTGTAGGGAGCCACCTTAAGTTGTTTAGAACTTGATGAACACTTATATCAGAAAAAAAAAGTTGTGTTACATTCTAAATCACCACGATTTGTCACACCAGCAGAGGTATAGGTGGTAATAATCATTTAATTTGTTTGCAATCGGGTTTCTAATATCTGTTTCTATTCTTCTCTCTTTAGTCACCTCATGCATACATGATCGATAGCACGTTACGAAGCTGTCCTCGCGTAAACAATGCTGTCGGAGACTAGCTAGTAATAATAGTTTTAATGTATTTTATTGCTCGCTGGGGCACTGTGCCCTGGCAAGTTTAGGTTTCGGCTCGCATTTTTCTTCGATAGTGGATCGTGGATCGAAGATCGATAGTCACAAAATAGAATATCAATGAGCTGCCAATTTTTACCCAAATTATCCATAAGGCTCCTACCAATTTTTACCCAAATTATCCATAAATAGTTTGCTACAAGTATAGGATTTGATATTATTTTATATTACGCTACCTATAGCACGGCTCCTGTCGGCCGGCAGTTGTTCCGTACGCTTGGTTTAAAAGTGGGCCTGCAAGCAAGGCCCGGTATTTTGTAATTTCGTTCACCCCCGAACGCGGCATTCAGATTGGCTGTTTGCTATTGGATTCTATAATTAGATTAGTGATTCATCACAAAGGCTCTCGATAAGCTTAAAATTTGAAAATTGATGACTTTTTTCGATTAAAAATGGAACAAGAGCGGACTGTTTATTGTTTACTTGAAGGAAGAGATGTTTTTACCTTTATGCCAATGGAGATTGCTTGTCGTAAGTGTTGGAATAGCAACATCACGTACGACTGGGGTAAACTATAGAGTTAATTTACTTGAGTTTCACTAATTTCAAACAGACTTGATACGTTATATGTTCCTCAAGAAAATTATCTTTTGGTTGATGTTTATTCTGTTCTGGCACTGAAGAAATTAGCGCTTTTCGCGGTGAAGATTTAGAGGCAGTTGCATGTAAGCATATTCGAAATACTTTGCGATTTGCAAGGCTTCGCAGAGAGAGCGAAACAGAAGACGGTAATTGCCGTTTGAAACGAAACGATCTGGGCTCTGAACGCTCTCTTCTTTTGTAGTGTTCTTTACCAAATAAAATAACTGAAATAAATTTCGTATTTTCCGCCGCCAACAAGAATTGCACACACGATCTGATGAGACAATTTATTTATAACAATGGCAACAGCGAAGCACACATTAATGCTAATGTGGTCGCACGACTTCCCTCACGATTTGAAGTTTGAGTTGTTGTTTTGGGGATTTCTGTTGAAATTCGTCCTAATTTGCCTGTTCCAATTTTAGTTGAAAATGCCGAGCACTTGCAAATGTGGCAATTACTGACTGCGTTGCTTGCTTTTTTGGAGTTAAAACACAGCCATTTATTCACTGTTTATATTTTGAATATTAAAGCAGAGAAAACCCCGCAACATTTTAATGCGAGTTTGTTTGTTACTATTTAATTGGGTTGCTGTCATTGGTTCTTTTTCGACACATGACTCGTGAATAGGGCGTGTTATGAAAATAGGGCGTTTTACAAAATACGGGGCCTTGCTTGCAGGCCCACTATTCTTCCCTTGGGCCTGCACGCGGGCTATCAAGGATGAAACGTACTGCATTTTTAATTAGTTAAATAATAATTTTGAGCGATTTGTCAATTGTCAACAAAACAATATCCCTTGACTTTCTGAGGCCATATATAGCTAGAATACTGCTATTTAGTAAGGAATTTGGCATCTGTATGTACAATTTCGTACACTGATTCGAACGATGGTATATTTAATTAGATTTCAAAAAATTTCCAGCACCCTATAGATTCGAGTTGTTGGAAAACGGATAAACAAGTTAGTGATGGATTTGTGATATTTAAATAAACATACAATGCAAATACTTGAATGAAGACTGAGTCTATCTACAGTACAATGTAACGCTGTAACCAGCAATCATGCATCTGTCATCGCTCCACACTCAATATAATATGGTCCCTTCCTGGAGATGGCGTCACCAATGACGAACTCTTACAGAAAAAAAGCCCTGGAAAGAAGCTCACGCACTGGAGATTATTAAGCGAGCTTATCCTGTCTGCTAAGATGCTCTCTACTACTGGGGGAAAATCTTAACATGGAAATGGCAGCAAGCGTTGCATACAGCAACTATTTTAGAAACTAGAACGACTCAGTACTGCAAGTACAATTGCATTATACAACCACAGTTGAAACATGGGGTAATAGACCTAATGCATAATGACGCCACAAGGCTTGATGCCCGCCAGGAATGTTGGTCTTAGTAGTCATTGCCCGGGAAAATTAAACAATTCAAAATGGACACTATCAAAATTTTCCAGTGCGATGACTTTTAAGACCAGCATTCCTGGCGGGTATCAAGCCCTGTGACGTCATTAGGCATAAGGTCTATTCAGCTGGTACCACTAAAACTGCAAAATAATTATATATTCCCATAAATTAACACAAGTCACTTGAAATCACTAAGTACTATTTTAAACACGAGTAGGAGTGGCGGGGGAGGGGGTTGAATAGGGTTTCGGATCGTCGGATTTCACAGAAAAAATTGTTCGGATTTCGGATCTGGCGAATAAGTTACACGGATTTGCGGATCTAATTATTAATACAGCGGATTGCGGATTTATCTAATATTTTGGCTCGGATTGTGGATTTAGCTTGCAATTTAGTTCGGATCCTGGATTGTGACTTCACAGTAGAGCTTTTAGCGGATTCAAATTTAGACAAGACCATTGTCGGATCGCGGTTTTTGCTTCAAATTTGGGCGGATCGGCGGATTTGTATACCCCTATTCAAACATTTGCTTCCGATCTTTTCCTGATATACAAACTCGAGCCGAATCCGAGATAAAATTCGGCTGTTTGATAACTAGCAGACCAGAGCGCAGCATCTGTTTTATATTAGCATGCGTAGCAGGCGTTTAGTGCGGGCGGGAGAAGAAAGGGCGTCGTTAAATAAACGCTTGCCCAAATGCCTATGATTAATTTGTTTTTCTCCAAAGAATCTTCGGAAAAGCTTCTCATTGGTTAATCTCGATAACGGAAGTAATTACGTAACTCAAATGTCAACAACACAGAGTAGAAACATACAGAGACGTAACTAGTATACTCACTTTTTTGTGCACATGCTCGGCAAGTTACTAGATGCATGCATCTGATTGGAGACGACCTGAAGACGGCTCACTTTAAACTTTCTGAGCACGCGCAGTTGATCATTTTTCGCCCGGTCGCCTGAAAAAAAGTGGGTACATGATATAATCTTCCGCAGTGTTTACAACGGTCAGTTACGTCTCTTTATATCTCTGTGATAATAATTTTGCTCGCGGTAGTCGCGATATGACGCAAAAATATGCTGCCTGTTAATGCTTTCCAGGAAACTTTCTTATATTTCAAGTATTTAGGCTTCCAAATTCAGTTGAACCAGAACAGAGAAAGTATATTGTTAATTTGCTACGTGGTGAAGACGCCGGTTATCGCGATTCTTCCTAAAGAATACGGAAAAGTTTGATCTTTCAATTATTCATTTTAAATATATCCTGAATATTTCTTATAGTTGTCTTGTTATTTGTTCACTTTAAAGTATAATTTAAGACCAGATAGTTGAGGCTACATCACTTGCATAGGCGTACGGGACGGGGGGGGGTGTAGGGGAGGGGCAGCTGCCCCCCCCCCCCCCC